TTTTTTTTTTTTTTTTTTTTTTTTTTTTTTTTTTTTTGAAAGCTTTGTATATTCTTGTTGTTCTATTGGTGGAATGCTTTTATAGGTGTGGGAATTTCTAGAAATAATCATTATTTCAATTTAAGATATTTATTTAATTTTGTAAAAAACTCGATTAATTTATGGTACATCGTATATTTATTCGTCAATTTTTTGTATTTAATTGAAAAATGGGTCCCGCTAAATTTTTAAAGATATTAAAATATTTTTATTAATCCGTGTTCGTAAATTGGGTTGGAACATTTTTTAGACCAAATTTAATTGTTCCTCGTAAAATATTTAATTAATATTTATGATTCAATTTAATATATATTTTGAAAAGAATTGTCTTTTAAAAAATATTTTTAATTTTGATGATTATAAATTTTTTTTAAAATGTAGGTGAATATATATTTATTAATTGTTTTTGGCTTTATATGATTTTTCTCTCTCCTTGTCTTTTTCATTTCTTTTTTAAAGAAAACTCCATTTTTTTACATTAAAAAATTCTTTTTTTTTTTTAATTTTCTACATAATACTATTTATTTCTACTAAAAAGTTAAAAATAATAATATAATAAATATCTTTCGGAAATAACTGTTAAGTAGAAAAAATAAATTCGGTTTTTGTAATGGTTTTTTTATGTCAATAGGATCTTACACGTGTTTAAAATATATAATTTAGAATTTTACGTCTCATAATTTTATAACGCTCAGCTCTAGTACACCTTGGTCACAATCGTGCAAACTCATGCACCACCTGAAAATGTCAGACCTAATTTTTGAGATTTTGAATCTCGAACCATGCAAGAACTTTAAGAAAGATAGATTTCATTTATGCTCATATTGTTACCGCGAACGATAATCTAGAATTTTTGTGTTTCTTTAATGTATTTTAAGACTTTTATTTACATTAATATTATATTTACACGATGGTTAATTATGATTATAAAATATAAAGGTTAGAATTCTTAAAATGACTCGAAATTATATAAAGTCATGTATGTTATATTTGAAAAATAAAGTAAAAAAAGCATTTGTGCTTTTTGGCTGAGATTCTTTAAAATCAAGGTCTAGGCTATAACTAAAACGACGTCTTATCTTAATTTTTATTTTTTAAAATTAATAAAAAGAATTAATGACGATGAAATAATATTAAATACAAAAAGCAATTTTGTCCTTATTAATAAGGGTATGTTATTAATTTTGTCTTTATAAATTTTAAACTCAACACTCCAAGTAAACAAAAATATAAAATTTTCTTTTTTATTAAACAAACAAACTTTAGCTGAATATTGGTTTAATCTAGCTACAAATTAACCCAATAGGTAAGATTTCGATTTTTCCTTTTAAGGAAAATGGTAAAAAAAAAAAAAATTACCATGGAGTTATTTGTTTAGCC